AGTAACAAGATATTGGCAGGGCTGATGATTAAGGCAGCTGAGCCTGATGAGTCAAAGCTGATTTGGGCTCTTAGTTTAGTCAATAGGTCCCTTCCCAGCAATGGGCCTAGGCAATCAGGCAGGTCCAAGAACTCGGGGGGGTAACTAAGTGTCTCCCTAATTGGCGGCTTCTTGCTTGCAAGAAGGGCTGGTAGTAGAGTTGCTTTCCCTTCTGTAATAGCCCCATCTGTGCCTATCTCGGGGGGAAAGGGGGTCCTTGGGTTTCCCAAAGGGCATCTGAGGAGGGAGGTTGGCCTGGGCTGCAGTGGCCCTCCAGGTGATGGCGAGACCTAATCTGGACGTGGGTTTTGGGATGACTGGTGACCTCCCCTCTGAGCTGCAGGAGCTGGCGCTTGTTTCTCATTCTTGTGCTGCTCTTTAGGCCCTGGGGAAACAGATAGGAGTGGGGTTTTAATTATTGGCTCAGCCGGGGACATCTGGGGGTGGAGCTGCTAATGGCTCCTCTTCTGAGGAACCCTGCAGGATTGGAGCCGTGGGTTTCTTTTGGTCAGAGTTTGGCACTGGGGGCATGACATGAGTGGCTAAAATTGTGCATTGGTTTCTCCCTCTTATGCAAATTCATGCCCAGGGTGGAATGACTTGGGCTATCTGTAGCCAGGAGTCAGTCCAGAGAGACTGCTCATGGTGGCCAGGGGTGCCAGTAACAACGTTGTACACAGTGCACATGGTAGGGAGATGTAAGGTTCCCTGTGGAGGCCATCTGACCTTAAAATAGGGCCAATCAACCTCACGGAGGGCTCTTAACTTTTCCAGTTTCATTTTAATTCTATAATCACCAGAGAAACCCTTTATAAAATTAGTCAGCACGCAGGCCAACACAGTGGGCTTGGACGACTTGGACTGAGGTTTTCCCATCATATCCCAAATATCTCTGACCTCTCCAGTTATGAAAAGCCTACACGTCCCAGCAGGCTCAGGAGATCACTAATTGGAGGAAATGATTGATGAAGAGACTGGAGGGGTGGCAGCTCCTGGCTGTGGGCCTTAACCCAGACACTCAGAAGCTGTGCAGCCACCTGAAAGCACTGCTGAATGGGCCATTTTAGCACAGGTTATAACTCTGTTTATGTTTGCAGGAGCGCCTTGACCAAGGGCTGCAATCATAAGGACCATAATGGCCTCCCTGGGGTCTATCCTCTCAGTAGTCCTACAGTGGATACTCCAGTGCTAGAGAGAGGCATTTCTTTGGCGGGTGACAGTTGGAATGGAGAAGGACAAGGGAACAGAAATATGTCAAGCTATTTGCTGAGAGAAGGTTGTCTAGGTAGAGGGCACTGCCTGCCCTCTCTTTTCCCAAAGTGGGCAGGTTCCACTCTGCAGTGGTAACATTTGTAGGAGGGTGAGGCTGGGTCTGGGAGGACATTTTTAAATCACAGTCAGGAGGAAATCATGTCCTAGCTTTTGAGGACAGAATAGGTGACCTGAAATTCACTACTCTGCCTATCCCCCTCTACAAGGAAAACTCTCCCATCGGCCTCTGTATCTCCCCTCCTGAGAATGGTGTTGCAACAAAGTGAGGGTGTCCCCCAGAGGGGTCCAATCAGGCATCTGTCTGGGCATGCCTCTGTGGGCTTTGTGTAGTTCCTTGGCAATAAGCAGTCTGATATAGAACCTCCGCTGGATTGAACATGTAGAGAGGGAAGGAGTCCCTCAGCCCTGATTTTCCCATTTAACCTTCATGGAACTACCACAGACACAGTTAAACAGACCTAATCTTGCTCCGTAGTGAGAAACTGTGGAGCCACAAATATATTCACTTGTCACAAACACTCACATTCATTCCCTCCCCACACCAGCCAATTACCAGATGAACCCTAACTGCTGATCCTACAACTTAAGGAGAATGATCAGGTCTCCTCTTCTACTTAATCTGAGTAGGTCTGACTAGGGCTCTACAGATCCCTGAGGGTTTACCAGATTACCAGAATTGACCAAAGTTGGTTCATCAGGTTCCAGGTGTTGGTCTTTCTCTCCACTTGGCATTCGATGATCCAGGAATGCTCAGACTTGGGGTGTGCACCCTGGCTGAGGGATCCCATCAAATGAGGTGGGGGTGCACCTATCTCTCCACACTGTAGTGCCTGTCTTGGGGGAAAATGTCTTGAGATCGGTGGCTCAAAGTGCCAGTCTGATTCCATTTTGAGGCCAAGGCACCAAAATGTTGCAGAAATTATGACGCTGAGGAACAAAAAGCAGCACTTAGAGATATTAGGAAAACTGTTTATTTCACCGAGGAACAAAAAGCAGCACTCAGAGTTATTAGGAGAACTGTTTAGGAGAACCGCCAGCGGGCATGGAGGAGTTAACATTCTGAATCTCCGAGCTTGATTTGCTGCATCACTGTTGCCATCAAATCATCTTTTTTGATGGTGACTGGGCAGACCTCCAGGACTGAATCCAGAGCAGAGCTCCCTGAATGGCCAAGACAGACATGAAGAATTCCATGTTACTAATATCAAGCTAACCTAGTATCAGCCAAAAAATCCCATCCTAAAATATACTTCTTTGGTGTATTTTGGGTGACCACTCAGTGCAGCTGCAGAAACAAGAATTAGCTTTTCAAAAAGCTAGTCTTTGGGGCCAGCAGGTGCAATGATGGTTAAGGCATTGGATTCCCACATGGCTGACCATGGTTCAAGTCCCAGACCTGGTGGCTTGAAAATCACGCCAGGATCGTGTGTGTGCATGTCCAAAATCCCAAGAGGAGAGTAGAGAAGGAATTTTGGTTGTGGCTATCCCTCCTGGGGGTGATTTCTTACTTGCCCCCCTCTTTGTCTCTCTCTGGTGAGAACTCATACTCTATGGCAGAAACCAAAAAAAAGAAAAAGGTTTGTTTTCATAAAAGATATGTACATCTATGTATTTATAGCAATAAAGTGAGTAAGGATGTCAGCAGACTATCACTGAGCTCCTGCACAGCCACTGAAGGTAAGGTCTGATACCTGGCCAGAGGGACAGGTCAATCTTAGCACTTTTCCCCATCACCCTTCCACAGTTTAATCCTCAGATTCTGCCCTTTTATATGTGCTATGAAACCTTTAGAAACCTGGTCCTTCTAAAAGCCTCATATTTGTATGGTTTCTGTGCAAAACTGTATGACATAAATTATGTACGCTTTATTTGTGCTAATCTGATTGTCACTGTATTTCATAGACTCAAAATCATGGAATCCTAGTATAGAGAAGAAATTTAAAACTTCTCTATACTAGGAAACTGAAATACATGTTCTGGGGTAATGGGGATGAAAAAATGATTTTAGTAGTCAAGTATTATAATTTACTTAGTTTATTAAACCATCTTATTTCTTATTTTGGAACAAATAGTTGACAAATAGGCACTAGACATGATCTTCTCTAAAAATTAATTTTGACTCCAGTTACTAAGCACAGAAATAGTTTATAAAGTGCTTACAAAGACCCCTTGGCCTGGGGCTGAAGGACAGAGTACATCCGCATTCTTACCATGCACCTTTATATTTGCGACATGCTCAGAGTTCCATGCAGAAGTTTATGGAGGTTCCTTCCATCTTTTTCCTATAGATTTCATTGAACCTTTCATTCTGGGCCACAGTGAAGTGGTTTTTCCAGTCTCCCACAGTTCCTGAAAGAGGAAAGTCCCGACAGGAGTCAGAGGTCACTCTCTGGTGGACAGGCTTGGTGACCCTGAGTGAAGCAGCAGATGCACCTGCTGGAGCTGAGCTGTCCACGTGCCTGCCTCACCCATTTCTCTGCTCTGAGATGCACCTCTGGGGGCTCTGGACAGGCTTCTAATCCAAGCGGACAGCTGACCTCAGGGAGCTGGTGACCTGGCCTGACCTAGCGCCCTCTATGATGTTCACATGATGGACATCACACAGATGTAATAAAGAATGGTATATGGACATACAACCACACATGGAGGAATCTCAGAATGTTATATTGGGCAAAAGACACAAGACATAATAATGCACATACCTACACATTCCATTTGTACGACACCTGAGAAGAGGCAAAATCAACCTAGAGTGATAAATATTAGAATGACTCCAATCTCAGAGGTTAGAGCTGAACTGGAAAGGGCCATGAGAGGAGCTTTCTGGGGAGATAAAATGTTTGGTGTCTTGAGGAGCATGCTGGTAGTAAGGGTGTACATTCATTACAACTCGTGAGCTGCTCATTTACTATCTGCATTTTTTTCCATATACAGGTTATATCTCAATACAAAACAATTTGGAAAAAATATGAATGAGATACTATTTTGCACCAAGCAGAGTACTGGACTCCCACATGGCTGACACCAGTTCAAGTCCTGGACCCGGTGGCTTGGAAATCACACTGGAGGGACCAGAAGATGGTGTAATGGTTGCGTCATTGGACTCCCACGTAATCGCCTTCTCTTTGAGTCCTAGACCTGGTGGCTTAAAACTTATGCCAGGTGTGTGTGCATGAGCTCCCAAAATTTGGAGAGAAGAATGGAGGAGAAGGGACTGTGGCATGCCCATCCCTCTGGGGGTGGTGGTGGTGGTGGTGGTGGTGGTGATTTCTTGTTTTCTGTCTCTCTGGTGAGTTCAGGTGCCCTATAGCAAAAATATAAAAACAAAAACAAAAACAAAACAAAAAGAAAAAAACCTTTCCAAAAGCATAAAAAAGAAAATAAATCACGGTGAGTATGTGTGTGTGTGTGTATAGGCTCCAAATCTCAAGAAGACAATGGAGAAGGTACTGTGGTGTGGCCATTACTCCTGGGAGGTGATTTCTCATTTCCCTCTCTCTATCTCTATTTCTCTCTGGCAAGCCCAAGTGCCCTATGACAAAATCTTTAAAATAAGTAATTTTAAATAGGGAAAATATTTTGTGTCACCAATATCTTTTCTAGAAAATTATGCAGCAGATATAAAGCAACCAGAAATAGTAACAAACACTAACATGTCTATGGTAGCATTCTTTGTAAAGACAAGCATTTAAAACAGTAACTGAAGGGTCTGTCACCAGGGGACTGGTTGGATTATGATGTGTCCAGACTGATGTACAAGATGGGACCACCCAAAACAGTGAGGTGTATGACTCCACAAGTTTCGTCCTGGGTGGACTCTTCCTATTTTGGCAAACAGAAGTGTGTGATCTGAACTCATCTTGTGTTTTAGGATTTAAGCCTTCCTCGTAGTCATACACTTCTGTGTTTGCACAAGCCCAAAGAAGGAGGGTGCATAGACAGGGTATGAATGGGCCCAAGGAAGGGCTACTTGAAAAATCGTCACTGGTGCAGAAGAGGAAAGAGGAGGAATTGTTTTGTTTATTCCCATTACATGGGATGCTGTTGAAGAATAAAATGCCACGAGGGGGACCAGCAGTTAGCGTAATGGCTATGTTGTTGGACTCCCATGTAGTCGACCATGGTTTGAGTCCTTGACCAGGTGGCTTAAACTCACGCCGGGCATGTGTGCGTGCTTGCCCAAGATCCTGGGAGGAGAATGGAGGAGAAGGGATTGTGGCATGGCCATCCCCCTGGGGGGTGATTTCTCACTTTCTATCTCTCTGTCTCTCTCTGTCTCTCTGGCGAGCACACGCGCCCTATAGCAAAAACCTCTCCAAAAAGAAAAAAAAAAGCAATGAGGTAAAGCCAACCACATTCCCCTCCCCTGAAAAAGAGAGCAAAATACAATCTTTCAATTTGGTGTGTACACCATGGATCTATTGTTGTGAAGCAGAGAAGTGTATGCTTATGAGTCAGAAAGGAAAGGTTTCCATAGTTATGCCTTTGGAGAGGGGTTTTGGTGGAGAAAACTGTTTTATTTTAAAAAAAAAAATTCAGAGTACGTCTCCCTGTATTGCAAACTTCCTCCCTTAGCCTCCTGCCTGACTACAAACACACACCAGACTCTCATTCTTCGTAGACAGAGTCTTGCTGTGTTGCCCAGGCCAGCCTTGAGCTTGGAATCCTCCCGCCTCATCCTCCTGAATTGCTGGGATTATAACACACACCACTGTGCCCAACCTCTAGGTTGGACGTGAATCATCCCAGGGCCCCCCAGCTGGTGCCAGTCCACAGAACACAGTGTCTTAATAATGCTTGCCACTGCTAGAGGGCCCAAGAGAAATTAAAAAATATACATAATTTGGGTCAGCAGTTTGCATGGTGGTTAAGGTGCTAGATCTCACATGGCCAACTCTACAGTTTGAATCCTGTAACAAGTGGCTTGTGTACATATGTGGAACAAACCCCAAGAGGAGCATAGGGGAGAGAGGATTGTGGTGTGGCCATTGCTCCTGGGGGTTGATTTCTAACGTTTCCTCTTTCTCTCTATCATTCTCTCCCCAGGGAGTGCGTATGCCATATGGCAAAATCTATCAAAAATATATATAATTCTATATTGATTTAATTTTTAACAATGACACACATTACTTTTTAAATGAAGAAATTATTAAGTTCCTTCTTAAAAAAACATTAATTGAGTCAATTAGAATTTCTCTTTTGGGAACTGGAACCAAGAAATATAAGAGGGGCCAGTAGGAGGCATAGTAGTTAAGGTGCTAGACTCCCACACGGCAGACTATAGTTCAAGTCCTGGACTCAGAGTCTTGAAAATCACAGTGGGCATGTGTACCTGCATACTCAAAGTCCCAAGAGGAGAATAGAGGACAAAGGATTGCAGCATGGCCATCTCTCCCTGGGATGGATGTCTCACATTCCTTGTCTGTGTCTCTGTCTGGTAAGTTCATGTACTCTGTGGCAAAAATCCCTTTTTTAAAAAAAAAAAATAAAAAGAAATAGTAAGAGAGTGAAGCAGTAGTTGTAGTTGAAAATCATGATGCAGCAGGTCTGGGCCATGGTCAAGATGAAGTTATGAACCAAAATTGAGTTGCTAACAGCCATAAAGCAGGGAAAAGGGCTCATGGGTGGGGGAGACAGGACAGTGGAGAGAGGGCCAGGCACACATACGTGCTGTCAGCAGGTGTCCTGTAAGTGGTGGAGCCTTAGAGCAAAGAGGTACCTCCAGCAGCAGCCGAGCTCCCTGACACATAGACCCAGGAGCCCCCATGGCAATGGTTCGGGACCAGCAGTTGCTCCTGCTCTGAGCTATCCATGAGGTTGTATTCCCTTTGTTGTTCCATATGAATTCTCACCACAAACCCCTCGAATCAGAGGTAACTGGAGGTAGTTCAGGTTCTGTTCCCTGCACCCAAATGTCAGAGCAATACCCCAGAGAGCTATTTTTTACAAAATGATCAAGTCCCCAGCCTTATTAGAAGCAGATATCCTGAATGGTTGAAATGTGTCATCTGAGAGTGAATAAAACCCGACATCTTGCTAAAAGACAGGCAGTAAGTGACAAGACAAGCTGAGTGTTTGATAAGGAGTCTCCACAAACCTTTTCTCATGAAGGGGGAAATGGACTGGTCCAGGATAGATTTGGGGACCGTAGAACGGTTCGTCATGGGATTTTCTTTCATTTTCTCAAACGATGTCTCCTGGACAATTTTATCTAGCACTGGTTCATCCAAGTTCTTTCCCATGAACTGCATCACCTTCCGAATCTCATTCTTTGGGTCCTGTGGGGAGGGGAACATTGACTTGGAACAAAGGAAATTATGGATCCAAAGACCAGCATGCTTGGACTGTGCAGAAGACCGAGGTCCCATAGGTTGTAACAGGAGGTACCATCTGGGTTTCTCTAAGTTCTCTATAGTGTCCACACAGTGACACCACCACCTCACTGATGCATTTCTTAGGATGTACACCTGCCATTAGGTGACACGTGGCTCATCTTCCGTCTTTGGGACATCCCTCCCAGGGAGTATAGCCCTTAAGCAGCCTCACATTTCTCTGCACCTCTGCCCAAAGTGGTTCTTCTGAAGGGCTTTTACTCACCCTTTTTATGTCCTCATAGAACAGGAAGAGAATCTGGTATCTGTCTTTGATCTCCCACCATCCTTTCACATGGTCGAACCAGGAGCCCCAACTCACTGTAAATGACACAGGAAACAGAACTATCTAAACCATAAACTACGAGAGCTAGGGACTTTATTTACCAGAAGTACACTGAAGAGAGAGAAAAACATATTCTGGATCAGATATGTCCTATTGGCCCCAACATGCTGCCTAAATCGGCTTTGTTTTTATTATGCATAATTACATACGCTAATAGGATAGGGATACCGTCAGGAACGAGGGTGGCTCCACAGGGAGAACACGCCTAGCAAGGGACAAAGCAGTCTAAGAAATTAAAATGCTGTAAGTGATTCCTCAGATTGACCTAGCTGTAGTGAGAATACAAGGGTGTGAAGGGTGTCCCTTACCTTTTCCATTGATGAAGGTTTCAACAAACTCTTCCCAGGTCCCAGGGTCAGGAAGCATCTGATTCATCTTTTGGAAATGGTAGTAGGAAACCACACAGTCTTTGGCATTTCGAGCTACATAAAGAAACTTTGGGGTAAGAGAGAAGTGGGTGAAGAGTGGTATAGGAAATGGATTTTCAGGACTGTCCCCTGTGTCCTAATGGTTCGAGTCAGCAGCTCCCACATGGTTAACCTTGGTTTCGATTCTGACCCTGGTGGCTTTGAAAACATGCTGCACATATATGCGTGTGTTCATCAAATCCTGACAGGATGGAGAAATAGTGTAGAAACTGCTGTGTGACCATGCACCATTGTGGGAATGCATTCTTCCTCTCCCCTGCTTTCTGTCTCTCTCTGGGGAATGCCCATGCCCTCTGGCAATAAGGGGAAAAGAAAGTGGATTTCCAGAGTTCTCTTTGGCAGGTTCTCTTCACCATCATGCAGGGGGCCGTGTGTACCCAGCTTAGCTCTCTTGTGCTGGCAATGAAAACTGGTCCTACTACGCCCCTGCCTCTCCACCTCCTAGCTGGCCCAGATTCTCTGTCAATTCTGCTCTCTATTTTGTACTTAGTCCTATTAATTAAGCAATTATTCTGACTTCTGGGGAGTAAAGGAGCAGAGAGAGAGAGACAGAGAGAGACCTCTAACTGGTCTTCACACCATGATAAACCCCCATGCTCAGCCAGTCCTGGGTCATGGCATGCTTATGCTTGGTGTGTTCAGGACAGTCTATGGACACAAAACGAAGACTTTCCCATGTGGATATGGGTCAGCCTGTGTTACTGCTGTGCCCCCATGCTTCCAACTCAATACTCAATTCACATTTAAATAATATTAATCCCAAAGTCAACCTTGAGTCATGAGCAGCTATTATTTACTTATTTATTTATCTATCTATATATTTATCTATCTATTTGCCATAGAAATGGCTCCACTGACCATAGAAAGACTGTGAGAGGGAAAGTGAGAAATCACTCCCCACTACACACCCTGTGGGGGATGTCTGGTGCTGCAATTCCTTGAGGACAAAATTTGGACTTTTTCCTATCCAAAGCTGATTCCCAGGGGACCTGGGAGAGACTACAAACATGAATGGACTGTTGATATTGGGACAGTATATCCTGTCCCAGACATAGTGTTTTATAATGCATAGTAAGCTCTCTTATTCTTTTGGTGATTTTTATTGGGAACAGAGACGAGATTTTCTTTAGCTAATTACTAATCTAAGAATTTCAAACTCACCTAAAACCTACAAGCTTTGACTCAGATATCCCACCTTTTTGGACCAGACCACTGTAAAAGACTCCTTATGCTGATAGACAACTATTCTGTTTTCAAAGCTATATAAAAGGAACCACTGTATCTCAGCACCCCAAGACCATGTTTGTCATTCTCCAGGTGGGTTCCTCATATTCATACTTAGAAATAAACCACATTAATTATTTTTTTCTAGAGTTGGTTAATTCAATTGATATTATTCTCCATTCTTCTCTTGGGATTTTGGGCGAGCTTGCATGCACATGTGCCTGATGTGATTTTTAAGAAGCCAGGTCTGAGACTTGCAACTGTGGTTGGTCATGTTAGAGTTCAGCATCTTAACCACTATGCCACCTGCTGGCCCCCATGATGAGCTATTTCAGTGCTGTATTGGTTTTTGCTTTAAAACAATTGATGATCATTTTGCCTGTTTTGGTCACTAGGGTCCTTTGTCAGTCTGGAGACAGTTTTGGTTATTATAACTGGGAGTGTTGTAGCTACTAGTTTCTAATGAGCAGAGGCCAAGGATGTGCTCCATACCCTACAATGCACAGAGGAGTCCCCCTGCTCCCATGCCCAGGAAAGAATTTTACAGTCCAATCTA